GATATGATGGAGGGAGGGGGGGGCTCACCTGGGCCCGTCACTGTGTTCATGGATGGGCGGCGGACATTTTCGGTGGGCGGGGGACGTTGTTTCATGGGCGGTACACGTTCTTCGTGGGTGGTGGACATTTTCGGTGGGCGGGGGACGTTGTTTCGTGGGTGGTACACGTTCTTTGTGGGCGGTGGGCGTTTATTCGTGGGCGGTGGATGTTTTTGGTGGGCGGGGGATGTTGTTTCATAGGCGGTACATGTGCTTCGTGGGCGGTGTGCGTTGTTTCATGGGTGGTGGGGTTCGTTGGGTGCTGGGTTGTCGTTTGTCGCCTGTAGATGGGGGTTGTCGTCCAGATGGTGGGGAACCGCCGTTTCATGTTGTTTTTGTCGTGGCGTGGTGTTGTTTTTGTCGTGGCGTGGTGTTGTCCTCGTGCTGAGATGTTTGCATGGTTGCCACGTCGCTGACAGCGACGTGGCACCTGGTTTTGACATTCCGTGTCGTTGTCAGAGGTTGTTTCGTGGGCGGTGGAGGTTGTCATCGTGGGCGGTGTCCGTTTTTCGTGGGTGGGTGGTGGACGTCGTTTTCGTGGGCGGTGGACGTCGTTTGTGGGCGGTGGGCATTGTTCATGGGCGGTGGACGTTGTTTGCAGTCGCTGGACGTCTGTGGGCGGTCATTTTCGTGGGCACTGGTCTTCGTTGGTGGGCGGTCGTTGACGTTGGTGTGGTGTGGTAGTGGTTCCTCATGGCCGAGCAGATACAGCGAACGACGACCGATGTCATCGTTCGCCATCTGGTTGCCACGTCGCGACATGGCATCTGTGGTTTGTGTCAAAAAGGAGAGGGTGGGGTGGTTGTTCCCACTTACCTGGGCTGGGCCCTCGTCACACGTCGTCAGTGTCAGCGTTGTCGTTGTCGTTGTCGTCGATGTCGCAGGTGGTCATGGTTTGAGATGGTGGATGGTGATGGTGGTGGTGGGAAGGAAGGAATGAGCCGCAGCTGTCACATTTGACACACCACGTGCCTAAAGGCGGTATATACATACCTTTAGTTTCCCATATAATAATGCCTTCATGGCTCAGTTGGCTTGAGCACTGCTCATATTCCCGAGGTTGAGAGTTTAATTCCTCTAGGTGTAGAAATTCTTTTTTTACTTAAATATAGTAAGGACACTGTATTCTAATGGTATAATGGTCATTAATTCCTTCCATGGAATCCATATGGAGTGGTGTTGGAGTCCATATGGAATTAATCATTCCATGACCATTCCATGATCATTCCATATGGATTCCATGATGTCTATGGAATAAGAAACTGGCTGGGTCCTCAGCCAACACTGATTCCATGGATTCCATATGGATTATACCAGGGAAGGTAAAGACCTCTTCCTGTGAGCAGAGGTGACTTTAGCAGAGAAGTGCCCTTCGATATATTCTCCGTAGTCCCTGAGCTCTTGTTCTCTGTGAGGGAAAGCGAATTTAATTGCTTTGATGGTGGCATTCCAGGCACTGGTCCATTCGCCACTCATTTGGACTTTCTTTGCTCACAAGTATTAGTTACCTTACCCCACTAATACTGAGCCCCCCGACCATACAAACAGACCATAGTTGATGGTGCCTGCTGATGAGCCCATGGATCAGTTGACCCCATCAAAGGTGGACCGGCCATCAAGACTCTCTTAGGACTGGTACTGTGCATCGGCTGAGAAGTGTACCCCATGAATTGACATAGCTAAAAATGCCTTGGATCCTGGGTCAACCAATCTCTTCATGGATTGGGCTCAACATGTGTCATGGGTCAGCTGAAGAGCTCTAAATCCCATACATTGTGGATCAGCCCACAGCCGTCTTATTTTTATTTGCCAAGTTTACCTCGGCTTTTCATTGCCGGTCATCATGCAGTTTACTGGGTTGGGTCCATCACCTACCAAGAAGCCAAGCACGGTGACATGGTCAGTCAGCTAGTACCCCATGAATTAAATATGCCTTGGATCCTGGGTCAACCCGTCTCTTCTTGGAATGAGCCCATGTGTCATGGGTCTGCTGAAGAGCTTTGAATCCCATGCAGCGTGGATCAGCCCAACCTGGTCCCATCCAGTTGACACTATACGGCTGAGTTTCGTTTTCACTCAGGTTTTATTTGCCAAGTTGTTCAAACATTATCTCGGCTTTTCTTTGCCGGTCATGGTCCAGTATTCGGTAGTGTTCGAAAGTCCGGTTAGGTCCGGTTATTGGGTGCCCAGGGGCTCTAACCGAGACCGAGACCGGTTAGCCTTTGTCCCGAAACCTAAAATAACCTAACCGGACCGCAACTAACCAGTTACGGTCGATTATTTGCAGTTACTAACCGGTTAGGACCGAAAAATAAAGAATCGGTTATAACAAGGCAAATATACTCATATGTATCTTGATAGATATTATTTCTGCATATTCTAGCTTTAAAACGAGCCCAAGAACGCTAAAATCAGTGAAGAATTGACATATTTATGCAATTATCCTTGAAAGTCTACACATTTGAGTGATATTTTAGAGATTTGACCGTAACTTAGTCAAATTTTAAGCGTTTTCGACGTTCTCAAGTGCGTTTTGAAGGTGTATAATAGGGTTGGTTATAACCGGTTATAACCGGTTATTTAACGGTTAGTTAACCGCAAAATAACCGGTTATTCCATTTTCGAAATCAACTAACCCTAACCGCGGTTAGGTTAGTGTTGCGGTTAGGTCCGGTTATTTTCCGGTTATTTTCCGGTTAACTAACCTAACTTTCAAACACTAGTATTCGGTCATGCAGTTTACTGGGTCCATGACTTCCCAAGAAGCCGAGCACGGTGACGTTCACAAGGCAGTGAGATATATTATGCACACCCCCAGTTCAAAATCCCTACCAAGTTTATACCAACCAATGTTTCTTGTAAACATACCCATGTTGGAACGGGTCTGGCTCAAACAACCGCACTCGGCTGCCTGAAATAAATGCCAAGCTGTTACTATGCTGGTCTCCATCGGACAAAGTTGCTCCAAGATCCCCCCGCTTTTCTCTGCTGGTCACAGTTTACTGGGTCGTGAAAGAAGCCGAGGCCTTACTGCTTTCATTATTATGTCCACCACAGGACTTCATATTAAATATGCCCAAAAAGAAATTGAAGATTGTCCAAAAAATATACATGTATGCTACTAACTATTAAGTAGACGGAGTTTGGACAGTTTGGACATCATTGTTTGTAACTTGCTGGCAGTCAGATTTTTGAATCCTCACCAAGTAGAAGACCTACTCTGTGCGGGGGTTTGAAGTGTGGGTTCGAGTTTCTGTAGCCGAGGTGACTTCCTATTACCCCCAATGTAAGGACCAGGCGAACTTGCCCGGGTTGGAGGAATTGGGTTTGGCGCCAACAGAAGGACCGCTGGGCTCTCAGATGCTGGAGGCAGAAAGACGGCCGGGGTTGGAGAGACTTGTGCGTGATCAGTTGAAACTGGGTTTGGCAGAACGACACCCGGGGTCGGGGAGACTTGTACCTGCTGGCTTTTCTGACCACGGTCGGGTGAGACTGAGCGATCGGTATTGATGCCAGTGTGCTTCTTCTCCTTGTTGCCGAGGAACTGGATAATGAGTGATTCCAGACTTGATTGGCGAGCACCGAGCCGCAGTTTGAGCTCCGAAATAGTAGTGACTGATTTGGTGAGGTCATGGAGCGTTAGCTCAGCAGTTTTGATGCAGCTTGCAAGTTTCTCAAAGCCCCGGGTGAGACTCTCTTGTAACGCAGCTGGCGTAGTCTCCCACTTGTTCTCCAGTGTCTTGACGGCTTCCCTCACCTCGGCTTCCAGTCTCTGGTGATCACTTCGGATGGACTGCAAATCTTCTTGCGTTTCCTTCCAACGCATGTGGGCAGACTCTTCAATATGGTCCATCCAGCGAGTCAGTCTGGTGATTTTTTCTTCCTGAAACCAAACAGAGGTCTCTAGACTTGCAATTTTCTCCGAGAGAGGACAGCTAGCCAAATCTTGATCTTGAATAAACCGGGTAATCTCTTCAAGCACCAAAAGACGTTGTGACAGGGTCACGGGTGAGTCAACCGCTGGGGGGAGAAGGGCACTTGCGTCAATATCTTGTTTTCGGACCACAAATGCCGAATACTCTCGCATAGTAGGGGTAGACGACTCCATGACGCTGACTTGCGCTTGTTGGTCTCGGAGTTTCTGCAGGAGGTTGGCTTGGCCATGAGCAAGTCTTCTGATCTCCTGCTGCATCGTCTGCATGTCGAAGTTTGGTGGGGGGCTCAAGGACCTAAAGTCAATCTTCTTCTGATAGAGCGCCGTGTCAACTAAGTTTTCAAGTTGAGAATCATGGGAAATGAGAAAACAACTTGAAACTTACGATGAACCTCCTTGGGATCTGGTGGGCTGACCTGCCGAGAACGAGATACCGAACGCGAACCTTCTGGCCGGGACGTGCGCTCAACAGGTGGGGGTGTAAAGCTTTGTTGCATATAATTGACAGCCAAGCCCAATTCTATAAACGAAGTCAGCAAAGAATAACGAGTTTCATGAATTTTTTACCCGGCCGCATTGCTAACTCGGGCACGATCCACTCCATCTCACTGGCTGGCGGCCCAATCTCCCGGCCCTTTCCTTTGTCAGTGTTGGTACCAACCTCGGTCTCAGTGCTCTTGAAAATCGCTGATGTGTGTGGTGTGGGTGGCTCAATGATTATGGTGGGAGTCACCCGGCCCACGTCTTTGTCAACTTTTGGAATGGCACTGACCTCGGTTTCCTCATGTTTGACTTCGGCCATCTCTATGTCGATACCACCCTCAGACTTCCCCTTTCCCATTGTCAGACCAACCTCCATGTCGACGTCAATGGCATGCTCCGCATCATGCCCGACTGTGGCCATTTCGATATCCTGCTTGCCCTTCTCTTTGACATCTGGCTTCACCTTCTTCACCTGCAGCTTCTTTGACCTCGCTTTCTTCCTCACGATCTTCACTTGGGCATCTCCCCCAGAGACTGTGGCCGTTTCAAGATCCTGCAACCCCTTTTGGATCTCGTCTTTGACCTCACTGTTGGTGTCCTTTTTCTTGGTTACTGCATATGTGCAGGTCGTCTTACCCGTACTGCAGGTGAAGCAGGATCCTTGTTGTGGGG